GCTTTTAAATGAGGAAATATACAATATCCAGAATCTACAATTTTAGCTATAGCAAAGAACAGAATCTCCAAAGAGATTAGTTTACTGCACGACAAAAACTTTGTCAAACCTATATATAGGAAAATCTATAAATACCTAGCTCAGTAAATTTATTAATGTGTAAATAATAATATAGTAGTTATAATAAAAAGAGCGCCACACGCGCCCCATGATGATATCATCTGGGATAGTTAAAAAAAAAAAAAAAAAAAATTATTTTTAAAATTAATTTTAAAATATTTTTTATTAATTAATTATTGAACAATCAAAAAAAAAAGAATATAAAAAAAAACCATCAAATTTTAATATGAAATGTTTAAAAATGTGACAAATTATATGAGTTTGTTTTTAAGTATCCTGAACCGTATAATAATTAAAAAATAAAAGTTAATTAGCCAATTACTTTATTAGATAACTCTAACCAGAGATGTTTAACGATAATATTTTCAAGCCAAAAAGCCAAACTAATAATGTGATGGCTGGTTTCGCATAATACTAAAGATGATTATTATGAATTAATCCGAAAAAAACAATGTCAAAAAGTAAACATTGTGAATAATATCAAAAAAACGGTCATTTAACCTTATTTCAAATACTAATTAAAGTATCAAGAAGGTAACTTTACTTATAACGCTTGCCTTCACTCTAACCTTATATGACTCTAACCCTAATTAAGTTATATGATCGAACACACAGTTTTGGAACAAAAATGTATAAGCTAAACATCTTTGACCAAAGATGCTTAGAATTTTTCTACTTTATTATATATATATAAAAAAAGAAAATGTTTATAATAAACAATTCAAATAATAAATTTAAATAATATTAAAGAATTGTGAAATTTGAAACTTGATTAAACCAAACCTAAATATAGAAATATTATTCTAATTTAAAGTTAGTTAATTTTTAATAAAAATTTTATACGTACGAAACGGTAATACCGGAGAATATTATTATGGAAATAAAAATATATTAAAATTTTTGATATTTATATGTTAATCAAATTTGTTCATATAATATATACTATATAAATAATAATTTTTTTTACTATAAAAATTTTAAATTTTCAAGTCTAATTTTGGTAATTTTTTAAATATATAATAATAAATAAAGTAATACGTACGTACTTCGATTTCCCATTATACCCGGCATTTTAGTCTATTATAATAAAAATATCTGTATCACAATACTAAATAAGAACATTAAACTTGTGAAAATTTTTTATATTATTATTTTATAATCATACATTAAAAAAAGTCAAGATTTTCCAAACACACATTGTTGTATTTAGATATTTATTGAACTATTGCATTTATACTAATTATAAAAATTTTGATCATGACTCATCAAACAAAACGTTTGAGACGTGGCAATGGATTATCCAAAATTGTATTTGTAATAATTATTGATTGGATATTGAAAAGGGTTGAAATCTAAATGTGGTAAAAAGAGAACGCCGAGAAAAAAAAAAAAGGTTCGGCCTTTAACGTTAATATTAAAAGCGAATTTTGTAAGAATCGAGAAAACAATGTGAATATTTGTGGTGAAGATAAGTTCTTTACATTTGATTATGATAACCATTAACAAGTATCTAGTGATCCAAAGAAGGATTAAATGTGAAACTGTAAACATTCTATTCCGTTTAAAAATTTTTTTAATCATAACGTTATTACCTACGTACAATAATTAAAAGATTGTAATCGTTACGCACATGAAATTCTTACATAAAATGTATGCATATCAAATTTATTATTTTGTGACACAAGAAACACGAGATCAAAGAATACAGAGAAACAAGGATAAAATGTTGCCTTTTATAGACTTTCACTTTAAACAGGATCGTTTAATAACAAAGAGAGATACAGATAGATAAGGATACCTTAATTTATGATAAAGATTTTATGCATAGCTAAAAAAAGCTTTAAGCTGGATATTTACCTCACTCGATGATACCCTCGATGATACTCTCAATGATAACCTCAATGATAACCTCAATGATAACCTCAATGATGTTATGCTACAAATAAGGAAATACAAAAAAAACGAGCGAATTCAAAAAGGACGAGCCTATGAATGAATCATAAGTCACAAAAGATCATGTGATTAGCACGTTGTATTTATATGTACCAAAAATCGTATAAATATAAATGTTTGATTATGCATTTAATGAATACAAAGAGTAAATGATTGGTGCAAAAAAAAGATATACTGCGGACAAAACATAAATTTTAATTATTTTCTTAACATGTAAACATTTTTAAGGATAAACATGCATATCAGATCAATTTTTAAACCGGCATTTGTGAACGAAATGCAAAATATTTTGAACACAACATTATTAGATTGATGCTCGAGCCTGTTGAATCATTACATCTTTTAAAGATCTTTATGTGTATCATTTTTAATTTTAATTGCAGAAAATCGCGCGTTTTTTAATAACACAACTGATTCACAACATGAAATAAAATTTGATTTACGCGAATATCATATTATAATTAAAAGTAATGCTTTCATTTTCAGAGTTAATTAATCATTATGTATCTTATGTACGTATCTTATGTACATATCTTATGTATGTATCTTATGTATAATATGTGTCTTATGTATAATATATATCTTATGTGTAATATGCATCTTATATGTAATGTGTATCTTATGTGTATATGTATCTTATGTATAATATGTATAATATGTATAAGTATGCAATTAATTTTCTGAATTGCAGTAATAGAAAAAAACGTAAATTGTCACACTTTAAAACATTTAGTACAAATTTAATAAAATTTTTATAGAATTGATAATAAATCTTATACATTTTTATCAATTCTTAACATTATATCAAATACTACGTATTACATATCAAATATTATTATTATTATTATTATTTAAAAACATAAATGTTAAGCTTAGATCAATAATTCGGTAATCCAATAGCATACATACACGAAACATGAATTTTCCTGATTGTCTCACGGTATTCAACCTTAATTATGACCTTCTATTTGCTTATTTATTTATTTATTTTATTTATTTCATATGCAAAGAATACCTCGTGTAAATGACCATTGAAATAATAGCAACATATTGTATACATAAACAAATATGCATAATGCATATTTTAGTAGTACTTATAAAATAGAAAAAAGGTTTACAAAATTTGGTAAAGTTGTTAAGACCAGGAAATTTTTTTTTCGTATTACTAATTTAACGTTTATTCATATGTATGATAATATATTGTACAAGAGAGATGAAAGGTAAACCTTGTGTTTAATTGGAACATTTGGGAGTTACACGAATCCAATGAATTGAATCCAATGAATTAATGCGAATTAATACGAATTCATACGATTTCATACAAATTCATACGATTTCATACGAATTAATTCGAATTAATACTCGTAACACTCGTACAAAAGGTATTTGCGTTGTGTAATTCATTCGGGAGTGGAGGGTTAATGAAAAGGAAATCTTTGTAATCCAAAAAATGTTTACACATTCACTTTTTGGTACAAATCCAATTATAATCGGAATACTTAGTAATTAACGTTAGAATAATAATTAGAATAGTAAATAATTAATAATTAGAATAGTAAGTAATTAGAATAGTAAGTAATTAGAATAGTAAGTAATTAGAATAGTAAGTAATTAGAATAGAAGTAATCAGAATAGTAAGTAATTAGAATAGTAAGTGATTAAAATAGTAATTAAAATAGTTAGTAATTAGTAATAATTATAATGGTAATAGTAATTATAATAGTAATACGTAGTAATCATAATAGTAATACGTAGTAATTATAATAGTAATTAGAATAACAAAAGGTTAATAATAGATGTCAAATTTGGAATGATTAAAGAAAGTAAAGAAGAGGTTTGATAAAATTTGTATGACGAATACATAAAGAGAAAATAAAAATGCACGGAATTATTTTAATTTTCCATATTTTTTAAACGATTTAATAATACATCGGCTTCGGGTGGTCAAAGATTTTAGGTTTCTTTCTGAATGTAATTAATTATGTGATACGAAACATAAATAGAAGATCACGTATTTGTGAGACGTTTTAAAAAATTCCATCAATTAACAAGATAGTCAGCTTCGGAGAGTACAATATTCTTACCATAGATGCTTATCATAAACACTTTTCATAGATGTGTTCACTTAAAAGAATAATTACTTTAAAAGTTTAGGTAAAAAATCGCTAAGATCACCAACTATAGATTTTACTAGTAAACTTTATCATAATAAGTCAATGCGGGAGAGGGGGAAAGGAGGGACAAGAAAAACTATTCTTTGAATGGATTAAGCAGCAGGTAGATCCAGACTTGTTTTAACCCCTTGATAAAACTAAATTCAGACAAGATTGAAAATTCATTTGACCGTTGTAAGTTAAGATGGCTAACGAATCTCATTCGCTTGACCGATAAGAAATGGATTTGCAGTTCATTTATGCTAAGTTTTATTACGTGCTTCATGGATTTACGTAACATGCATTTATTTATGTTAATTCTATGAAAAACTTTCGGTTATAAATGTATCCTTAGGGACTAGAACTACTAGAACTGGTTTTAAAAAAGTACGAATAAAAATTAATCAACAAATAATTTGCTAATTTAGTTCATTCGTCTAGTTCGTTCATTTGTTTAGCTCATTCATTCGTCTAGTTCATTCGTCTAGTTCGTTTAGTTCATTTAGTTCATTTGTTCGTAATTGACATATATACATTGTACTCCGTCACGTTCAGTACTTACATTTAGGTACTTATACTTTGCACTTACATTTACGCGTTTTATACATGCATTTACATCCACTTATCATTTATACTGTACATATATAAGATCGTCACTAATCATCTTTAACTACGTAACGTTAGCATATGGTAAATTTATAAATTTGGAAAGAATTTACTCATAACATAAATTTAATGCTATAGAATTCATTAATAATATATCGATACATAAGAATCATTGATATTTATGCATTATTGTTACGTTTAGATTTTTCCACACTAAATTATTATACTAAAGTATACGATGATCTAATGGCTTACATGTTTACAAGAATTCTAGACATGAAATTACATTGATGCAAAGTAATATTTATATCAAAAGATTATAAAGAGTCTATTTTAAGAGTGCAGAGAAATAAATAAACTTCTATGAACCTTTACAAATCTTTTTCGTAATACATTTCTTATCAAGCATTATTTATTATCAAGCATTATTTATTATCAAGCATTATTTATTATCAAGCATTGTTTTCTTATCAAGTATTTATTATGTAAAAAGTCATTACCCATACGTTATTTCATTTTCATTTTAACTAATTATACTAAGACCGAATTAATTCAATATATCGGAATTTGGTAATTCAATCAATGAATTAAAATCTTTCTTGTTTTGTAAATAGAAGAAAAGTTTGATCGAAATGGTTGATCTTTCTTAGTAATTTTTTAGTAATTTCTTAATAATTTCTTAATAATTTCTTTGTGTTTCTTTGTACTTCTCTGAATTCGATGATCTGTTCGTTTTTTCCCACCCCTAACAATATAATAATAATTTATCCGACAACTATAATGGTAAGGTAATCTTAATAATAATAATTTATTCGACAACTTACTATGATTTATCTGTCCAATAATAAAATTTTTGGACAGAAATTATAATAAGCCCCGGATAAACCCGTTAACAGGTAGGACCTGCCCGATAACTATTATAACTTATAACTATTACTATCATTATTTTTACTATTATTATTACTATTATTACTATTATTATTACTATTATTACTATTATTATTATTATTATTATTATTATTACCATTATCATTTTATCAATTATCAATTATACGTATCAATAACATGTATTAACATTATCAATTACACGTATTAACAGTACCAATTACACATATTAAACATCTATTAAAACACATATTAAAACACATATTAAACACGTATTAAAACACACATTAAAACACATATTAAATTATTAAAGAAATCACGAAACTCGAATTAAAATTTAGTATCATATTTTTCTATTTAAAATGATTATTCGCTTATGCGCGTATTAATAATAGTTTATTCTACATCAATCGTGACAATCCACGTTATTTATAACTCATAAATGTATATTTTTTTTAAAAAAAAATTTTTTTACGTGAATCGCGTCCATTTCCAAAATAATAATAATAAATTTTTATAGAGATCAGCCATAGAAGAACGGATTTGGTATTTACTTACGCAATCTTTAAGCCTTTGTATCATTTTCTATTTTAACTTACTTTTTATAGAATGAATAGTATAAAATTTTTTACTTTTTTTTTTTTACACCAAAAAAAAAATCATGTTCTGTATGTACGTACGTTTGTACATAACAGATAACTGATAAGTATTTATGCCTGTACATGTAAGTACATATGTATGTACGTACGTATGCACGTATATAAACGAGTGAAACCTTATAAAATTAAAAGTTTATGCGCTCCTAATATGCAGGATGTCGGCGGAAGATAGTGATACTCGGGTCATTCCTAAAAAGAAAAACGCAAGTCGGCGGCCGAGTTTCACCACATTAAACATTTACTTGCATAAGTTGAATTATGGTATGTCGGAGTTTTTTTTGGGGATCGGTATTAATTATCAACAAGCATAGGTAAAAACCTGTTTGCCGAATATAGAAAACATTGAAAATTTTTTTTAAAATCATTTAAAAACATTTTAAAATCTTTTAAAAATCTATTCGGAAATAATCATCACAAAGAATCTCTTGGACTAATTATAAAAAGGGCGTGTGACCAAAAGGCTTATGCAATTTGGTATATCATAACCTTTTTACGTTGGTTTCTATGCGCCATCAATGACATCATCAACATGGTAAAGATAGATGTAAGCAACGTCATTAAATAAAGCAATCACGCATTTGTAAGTTTAATAAGCACATTGAGGAGTAAATAAGCAAAAAGGAGTTACGTGTTTGGGGAATGAAAACCATTACCAAAACTATCTAGAAAGATAGTGAATAATTTCATTCAGAGCTTCATTTTACAATCAATCTAAAATCGATTACAATCAATTTTTACAA